ACCTGGGGTTAGTCTGATGTTTTTCTCATGGGTAGACTGAGACCTGGGGTTAGTCTGATGGTTAGTCTCATGGTTAAACTGGGGTAATGGGTTTGGGAGAGGAAGACCACAGAGCTGAAGTGCCTTTCTCATGACATCTTATCAAGGGCACACACTACCAACATGGTGGATCACTGTGCTGTTGATCTTGATCTGGAGGTGGTGGTTTCGTCAGACTTCTCCACTATCAGCTACTGTTTTTACCCCTTTTTCATACTGTGTTCTTTGGAGGGAAGTCACTGTGTGCAGCCCACACTCAGAGTGAGGGTTTTTTTCCATCTCCTTGAAGGCAGTGTTTACCTAAAGTATTTGGAATCCCACATGGCAGATTTATCTCTTCTCCCCACTGTGTTTATTCATTCACTTATGTTTGTGTGGACTAATGGATCTTTATTCTGCACTTGAGTTATAACCCAACACTCTTACTTTGGTGTTCAAAGTGTTCCACCTTTGATCACTGGGAGCTTGGTCAGTTGCCGCTGTGTCCCTTTGACATGCCCCATCATTGTGGGTTTGTGTCTGCTAATTAGCATTTCCTTGCTTCCAGGCTTATTTTGGATATTTCCTGCCCCAGTCATAGGTGAATTTCTCCTAGTTGGTGAGTTCTGATTATCTACTTAACTTTATTTCTGCTCCATGTATGAAGAATTAACTGCAGGAGAGAGAACCCATACCGAGTGTCAGTTGTCCGTCTTGGCCTGGAAGTTGCAGCTAGGCCCAGTCCTGGGTGGGTGACGGGGGGGAGCCAGGAGGTGTAATGGGCTGTGCCCCCCTCCCTGAGACCCATGGTCAGGGCCTAGTGGACATGCGTGCACAGAAGTTCTGACTGATGGACTCCTTTGAGAGAACCAGGGTTTTTGGCCAACTGGACACAGCACAAGGCCCTCCTCTCTTTACTGCTGCACCAAAGGGTCGTTCTTAAAGCGAGTCAAAGGTCAATGCTTGGGTTGGCCTCGAAGGTTGGCGAGTACATGTTAACATTTGCCTTTCCAAGAACTGTCTTGGCACAGGGAACTTCAGAGAAAGATGGAGTAGAAGCAGATGTGACCCTGGGATTGGCCTCTCTGCCCTCCAGCTCCCCAGCTCCTGGGTCTCCTGCTGCAAGAGGGTAGTAGCCTGAGCTTCGGCTACACCCTCACCCAGTCCCTTCCCACCCTCCAGGCCTTTCCCTAGCCAGGCAAGACCCTTCTCTCTCTCCCAGCAAAGCCCTTTTTAACCCTGTGCAACATAAATCCCAATGGACTCACTCAACTGAGGGTGCAAGAAATACTGTTTTGTTTCGTAAAAATCAACTAAACCTCAACTCTCATGCGTTGTCCTAAGGCTCAGAGAAATCACCCTGGGCACTAAGGGGAACTGATGCGCAGCCCTGGGCAGGGCCCTGAGTTGGGGATGTGGGGCCCCAGCAGCAGGGAGGCGCTACCAGCTTCATCCTCCAGGAAAAGCAGTGTGAACAGTGCAGGACTCTGGGTGCGGGCTGAGCCCACCCTCCTGGCTAAGGATCTTCTCTGAGCCTCAGGCTGAAGCCTGCCAGCCGGCATTGGCCATCGGAGTCTGCGCCCCTTACTCCCAGGCTCTGCCCTCAGACCGGTATGGGCCTCTGCTTGGCCTGCTAGGGCCACCTGGGCCCCACCCCCACGGGCTGCAGCCTTGGCCACTGGTGTGCGGACAGAGCGGGGGCAGCAGGAAGGACGACGCCACCCCGGCTGGCCTCGGCTCCCTGGCCGTGGGGCAAAGACTTTGCTGCCGCGGCCGAGAATAAGCCGCACGTGGCAGCCCGGACGTGTCCCCTGTCCCGTGCCCAGCCTCCTGGCTGCTGGTCAGCGCCCAGCTCAGAACCAGCTGCCGCCTCCCTGCAGGCGACTCACAGGACCCAGGCCGTCCGCTCCTTGCCCCAACTCAGCCGGCGGAGGGCACCGCGAAGGTTCCGGAAGAACTCGGGGAAGGAACGCGGAGGACTCAGGACCGTGGGGGGAACCGAGCCCGAGGTCTGGCCCAGGACTCGCCGAGCGCCGCGCGTTGGCTTCTCCCCGGTTCTGATGGGCCGGGCTCCTGCCACGTGACCCTCTCGGGGCCAATTGTGGCGGCTCGATCTGGCACACGCTTATTGGCTCAGGCCGGCCAGGTGGGCGGGGCAGAGCCCCGAGGGCCGCGGGCCACGCTCCGCAGGCGAGGCTTTGGCTCCCGGACCTCTCGTCGTAGCGCTCACCTCGAGTGGCACTGGGCCGGGGTCCTGCCCTGAGGCCCTTCCATGAGTAAGTCCACGCAGACGTGTGCGACACTGGCCTGTCATTGAGACAGCCCGGGCGCCCCCCACCAGCCCGACTACCAGTCCACCCCCAAGCTCGGCCGCAATCCCGCCCCCAGCCCAGC